CAGCGGGCCTCGGGTTACCCAATCTGGACTCTTGCTCGTGATTCAAGCAAGTGCTTTGCAGATGTCCTCAATGGGCAATACAGTAGTAAGTATGAATATATGGATACTAATAGTACTGGGCAATACAATGTCGTTGATGCTAGATCAGTCACTGAAGAATTTGATAAACTTTTTGATAAAATATTTGAAAATAAATCAAATATCTCAGTTGGAGATGCATTAAGATATGAAGGGTGGAATCCTGATACCCTATTGAAACAAATTGTCGAATGGAGTAAGTTCAATTATTTTTATGCAACGACAAGTGATCGATCATCTCTTCCTTTATTAATCGCCGAATATGACCAATACAAGTTTGAAGGTGAGTCTGATTTCATGGTTACTGATCAGCGTGGGTATGTTTCGATTGCTCATTGTATTGCTGAGCCTATTTCAAATAGGATAGAACTAGGAGCAGTGGTTACAAGTATTGATTGGAATGATGAGTGTTTCTGTGCTCATGTTGCTGGGCAGGGAAGGGTCTGTGGTGATTATGGCATTACAACATTTTCCATTGGAGTATTGCAGAATTTTCTTGAAAATGGTCAATTTAACGGAACTCTCAGTAGGAGAAAAATTGATGCAATAAAATATTCAGAAATGGCTGTGTATCACTCTATAAGTGTTGGTTTTCCCAGCTCATTCTGGAATACAAACACTGATATTATTTATCGAACTGAAGCTCGATTAGGCTACTATCCTGTGATAGATACATCTGGTAAAGGAATACCAGGATCACCTGCAATAGTATTAATGGCTGTGACTGGTGATGAAGCTAAAAGAGTATCGGGTCTTACTAAGGATGAAATCTATGATGAAATTATGGACGTGATGCGACTTTGGTATGGTAGTGATATTCCTAATGCTACTGACATTGAATATTACGACTGGTATAGTGATGAATTTTATCGTGGCATGTTTTCCAACATTCCACTAAATCTAACTCTTGAAGAGAAAGAAAACCTTGCTGTACCAGAAGGAAGGTTATACGTCAGTGGTGAAGGTGTCATGGTCTATTCTACTGGAACTGTTCATGCTGCCTACTGTAGTGGCATTGATTCTGCAACTGATATACTAGAAAAGAAAGGTCTTAGTGAGAGGAGTACCTTTCTACCCAAATGTGAAGATAAAACTACACCTCCGTCCTCTGCTTATTCCATGAGAATGTCTCTGATTACCTTCATCATGACATTGTTCAGTCTCTTTTTGCTCCTGCTTTAGCTGGTTGATATGTTTAGATTCAGCCTTTCTAACTTTGAATATTTGTAGGCCATTTTAGTATTATTAGATTTATAAATTTATTGTCCATGTATTGCTTTAGAAAGAAACAAGAGAAACTTTAAGAAAAGAACTTACTCATCATCAATGCGTGCACAGTGACATATAATGAACACTCATAAGGAATCACATTAAAGATCATAGCTATACTTGCATGGAATCTGATCTAATTTTGTTTAGAAACTTAGCATTCCAATCGTTGTTTGCAATGCAAACACAGCCAGCAAATTAGTATTCCAAGATAAAAACAAACTTGGAATTAGCATTCCAAGCGAAAAATTGGCATAACAAAACATGTTGCTGTACTAAAATAGTTATGTAATGTGAACTAAGTTCTTTTTTATTGATCACAAAGTTTCTGTATTCCTAGAAATTGGCAAAACTTGCATGGGTACAACTGCATTATTGGATGAACTCTGTTTTTGAATTTTACGATAAAATTTAACTAGTACCTCCTTTATATCAGGCCTAAAGTATGACTGGATAACTGGGTTGGCAATATTCACCATTAAGAAAAGGATAAGTCCAGCTATATAATGTTTCCATATTAAATCAAAAATTTGACTCAAAAAAGTAACAACCACAGGAGGAAGGAAGCAGATTATCTATCCAATGAGCATGGCACAAAATATACCAATCAATCTTCTGTTTCTAGACACGTAGACGTCATCTGCTAGTTGAGAGTGTTCTTGAATGAACTTACGAGTGAAGCAATAGGTCCAAATTGAGGTGACAATGATGATACATATTTTCATGATGACAAGTGTTATCGTGATGACAACATAAATGATTTCACCTTCAAATCGTGGTACACAGGCTCCATATTCTCCATATGCAACCTCTCCAAAACCATAAAGTGACGCAGTATCAAGAATTAGAGCTACTACCCAAATCAAAGCAATTAAGGTCAGAGTAACCTTTGGTTTCATAAATTTTTTATAAAAGTTAGGTTTGACAATAAAGATACAGCGATCAACAGATATAGCAGTTATTGTACCAAAAATAATCCATATTCCATAGTTGAGGACACAACCATGAAATGTACAAGCTGCTATTTTTTGTTCTATTGTTGTTCCATAGATCCATTCTTCACTTGCTGCTGATATGATCCAAAGCAGAACAAACAGGACAGATATTATAAGGTGTATAATAATTAGTGAAGTAAAGAGCATTGTAGATGGAACCTTGAAGGATTTATATTGAATAAGAGTAGCAATGAGGACAATACCATTAGCAACCAATGCTCCTATGAATTCAACAGTAAGTGCAGCTGCTATCAATGGCCCATTGAAGTCGTCGGGAAAATAATCGTTACCATCAGTATGGAAATCCATTTTAAAGATATAGGGCAGTTACTAAAGTCAGTTATTTAAATGATTTTGTTAACAATAGCTAGCCCCAGTTAAAAAGCCACTGTCTACATATTTAGTCTATTTGTAATGTGCTAACCATAGTGTGATAGGTATCTTGTGTAGAGATTCTTTACTGCTATGATAAACTGAATACTGAAATGTGTATCAACTATAACACAACTCATGCATGCCAACAAAACCTTTAGTATGATTGTTTTTAAA